TCCCTTCCCTTCCCTTCCCTTCCCTATAATATTGATTTCCACCCAGCAAATGAAGTTTTAACTTCTCCTTTTAATATGCATTTTTCCAACTGCTCTTTATTTATCTTCCAGATGTTGCATTTAGCTTTGCCTTGTTCAGTATCTTCTCTGTTCCTTGGAAGGAAAAATTCTCTGGCCTCAGCATCTTCCCTTCCCTTCCCTATTAGAGCTGTAACCCTAGGCTTGCATTATAAGAAAGCTTTCCTCCTTGGTCTTGCTGTGAGTTTCTTGAACGTGTCTGTTTAATTTAGTGGCAAGGTGTGAAGAATTTATCATTCATTTTTATGGACATGTTCAGGTTCACTAGATTGTCTGATTTATTTAAAACACCAGTAGACCTCTGACTGATGGTACAGCTACCTACCGCTTTTGATGATAGATTTCCAATCCACCAAAGCAGTAAATCAACAGCTTACACAGAAGATTATCAATAATTCGGAAAAGTTCTCCACAGAATGTGCTGCTGGCTTACCTCCACCTCCATGTTCTATAAATATATTTTGTTCTAATGCCAGATGTAATTCAGCCAGATCCAGAAATTCTTTATCTGAGCTTTGTTTGATTCCTTATTATGACAATAATACAAAGCTTTGAGACAAAACTCTAACCCAGCAAAGAAGAAAGGAACAAGGGGAAAGGAAGTCATGAGCATGGGATCTGAAATTATTTTGAAAGAAAAGGATACAAAAACAAAGGGAAAATCATATGACATCTAAAAAAAGAATGGGGAGATTAAAAGGAATAAAAGGAGGGGAAACATTAGCCCTAAAAATTATACCCATTGTCAAACATGTAGAAGACTATGCCAAGTCTGGAAATAGTACTAGATTAGTATAGAGGCCTGTGTTATAAACGGGAATTACAAACTGGCCTATGATAGATAGATAGATAGATAGATAGATAGATAGATAGATAGATAGATAGATAGATAGATAGATCATATATGAGTCTGTGTGATTAAGAACTTTCTACAGATCAGGTTAGAATGTTTTGAACTATGATGTGTAACCGAAGCAAAGAAAATTCCATCACGCTTGCACTGGAATGAAAAGAAGAAGGCATTTCTGGCAACCCTTCCAAAAGCTGCCATGATTTCAGCAAATCCGTCAGTGAGTCATATTAACACAGGAACGTTGTATGTTGCCTTCTATGGAGACTTCTCCCTGGGCAACGCTGACTGGCAATCACTCTTTGCTAGGTAGGCATTTTTCAAAGGTTGGACCTGAAGCCTGCAAAGCAGGGTCTCTCTCTGAGCTATGAACCCTCTGCCTTTTTGCAGCAGGGCAGGAAAGTTGGAGGAGGCAGCTGGGAGGAATCCGCAGGCATTGGGACCAAGGGGACATCAGCCTGACAGTGTATCCTAGCAACAACAGGCACACCTGGAGGCCTGAGTAATAGCAGGTAAGACCTGATCAAATGCTGAAGGAAGGAGTGACGAAACGGAGGGATGTTTTGAAGGAATGGGAGATGGTCAGGAGAACCAAGGAGATACAGTTGAGAGTGGTGAATCTCAAAAGAATGATTTATCACTGACTCCTTTCTGAATCTCTAAGCTGGAGACCCTGCCCATCTTTGATTATACTCAATGCCTTGGGTATATATTTTCTATCCCTTCTCGGTGGGAGTTCATTTGATGGAGAGAGCCAACTGGTAAGTAAGTTTCTGGGGCTGGGTGTGGGAAATGGAATGGTTGACTGTATGACAGATGCATTATTCTTTAACTACTTTTCACCAAAGCATTTTTATTCTCAGGAACTTAAGAAGAGATATTAATTCAGACCAGATACAACAAAACCCATGATGCAGCATATTCCCAAGGAAACATGCATGTACACAAATATTTAACACCTTCATATCTTGCTTTTGCATGTGGATAAAAGCCACCTGGAGTCATTTTGTAGTGTCTGATGTGATACACTTTAAAGAGCTTTGCTATTTGACTTTGGAGATTTCTTAGAACCTGTTTGGAATCTATCTTCAGATTGAAGCACAGCCTTATTGAGGCCTTCAGACTGACACAAAGATTCAAAAGTTCACATATCCCAATTTTTTTTCTGGACTTTGAATAGAAGAATTAAATCAACTTGATTTGATGCTTCTAACTGGGGTTGAACTGAACCGACCCAGCTTCTGAAATTCTGAATAAATCTGTGCGTCCTTATTATTTCATACTTCAGTGGGAAACTTTACATGAATTGAAGGAAACTCCAGATTAATGTGGAAAGGAGAAATCTGAGATTTGAAATCCTTGCAGTGGTAGCAGTATGGGACCAGGTGGACTATAGGCATAGTATATTTCTAGGGCTAAATAAATTCTGATGTTCTCTGCATGGACAATGAAGTAGCAATGATTTGTTTTGTTTTTTTAAAGAAGAAATAGCTGAAGAGTTAAAACTTACCATGACAGTTGGGTGCTTGCACTAAGTAAGGGATGGTTATCTCTTACCCCAGGTATCACTGTTATGCATGATCTGCCAGCGGAGATCATCTTGTACCCACGTACCATCTGGTTTCCCTCGTAATGCTGTGAATTTAAGGTGCATCTATGGCAGGTCACTGAGGGCCAGCCATGTTTTACACTAGCAGTCATCTTCCCCATAAGGTGCTGGAATAAAAGAAAAGTTGTGTTCCCACTGTGTACTTCAACTCAATGGGGGAGAGGGCATCTGCTATTACTTCAATGCTTCCCAGCTCTTCAAATAAGATGTCAACTTTCTCTCATGTCCAAAGACAATGCAAAAATCATTTTGTATGGAGGATTGTATGTCAAATCTCACCATTCCTTCTTCTTGTTTAGCCAAAGGGGCTCAGTGAAATATTTTGTTGTACCTTATTACACTTAGGTTTGCCTTGATGGACACATTGACTGATTCAAGCTTTTGACTGGATTTCATTACTAGAGTACCTGTCCCAGGTAATGAGATGGTCTGGCACTGCAGGCAAAGGAGAAGTTTTTGGTTTTTGGAATTTCTCCCTAACCCTTTCCTTTGAGGGTAGATAAACCGATGACAGCTTAATTCAGAGATGCCAAAACTTTCCCCTCATCCACCCATCTTCGCATTCATAACTTAGCCGATGGAGCAAGTTTGGGATATAATTTCACACGGATGCAATTGTGGGGCTCGAATCTCCTGGAAGAGAATTAGGATGGCAGCTGCCTTAAATTGGTGGGGAGAGGAATCAGCCACATAGAAAGTAATCCCATCTGCTTGGAGGTTTCCTTTGGTCCCCAGAGAAGACCAAGTAGGATATGAGTAGAGATGTGTATACTGCTATGGTGGAAATGTTGAAAGAAACACCAGCACTTATATCTTCCTGTGCTCTCTTTGCTGGCCAAGAGTAAGCTTACCAGCAGTGGCCTCTCACCATAATAAAAGTTACTGGAGAACCATGCATAATCCAGGAAAAGGAATCCATAGGAGATGGTATATTTCTGTTGAGTGATCAGGAAGTTTCCACTGTTCTTAATATGCCAAGTGTGTGTATATATGCTTCTTTCCAAGGATATCTTATTCCCATTCAAATTATTAGCAGCAAGTACAGGAGCTCTCAAAGGCATTTCTTTATATAACTTCCAACATGGCCGTGTATTTAAAATGTTTCGCCCTATGAAATGAATCCCCAAAATGCTGTAGCTAAAAATTAAATTAGGCCTCTGTTTTCCCTATGAGCAAAAATATTGAACTGATAATCCGTTTCTACATCTAGATTATTCAGAAGTCGTTCATAATGTACTTAAGGCTGTCTCTAGAAATCTGCTTGGGTAATATTGCCTAAATCACTCATCCGTGTATGCATCTGTGTCAGTGTATGCATATTTATGTTTGTACGTACGCACACATAGAAAGTAGACAGAAATGAGAAATACGTATCTGTCTCTTGTCCATGAATGTTCAACTCTTCTGTACATTCATGAAAAAGCATACAACATGGAAACCATGGTTAAGGCAAATTCTTAGCAAACCACTACCTCTAAGAGCTGAATTAGGCCCTATTGTTGAAGCAACACCTGTATATCACCGGAGCTCTCCCTGGTCCTGTAAGATGTGCTGCTTCTCTCCTATCAGAGATCCTGCCATTAAATGATTCTAGCTAATATGGGCTAAAATACGTCCTGCAGTTTCCCAACATTTTGGGAATAACACCCCTTATTGCTGGGGTGCTTTTTGAATCTCTTCTGGGCTTTTTTAGGAGGTATCTTCATACTTGCGAGGTGGTAGAAGGTAGACATCCCCTTCCCTCTGCAACTTGTCTGGATGTCTCATTATTATTATTATTATTATTGGAGGAAGGGTCCCCAGAGGATTTGTCTCCTTACTTCCCTTGAAACTTCATTGAAGCCCAGAAAGCAGGAAAGTCGCAGACTATCTGAGAGTTTATTAAACAAGGCCAAATAGACACTGACGCACATTCCTTATAAATAAAGGTATACAAGTAATCTCTTATGAGAATTTGATTCTCAGAAAATAGACTTAATCATTCCACTTCAATAATTTTCCAAGGGTAGTAACCCCCACCTACACACACAGACACATGCATAAATCATGAGCCCAAACTAGTCCTTTGCTAAGCTAATGACTCCAAGATGTGTTCATAAGATGGAAAGGAGAGCTGTACATAAAACTATCCACTGCCTCTGCTTTGAGAGTGAGCCCTTCGTTTGAACTGTGGGGCAGTTTAAAAAGTTTCTGGGTGGCTTATTATTATATTTTGATCTGTTGAAGGCTAGTTGAAGGAGTGCAAAGGCAACTGAGCTGCGTACAGAGGGCTGATTTCAAACAAGGACAGAGTGTGAGAGAAATTTGAAAGTAGAGGCCAAGGTTAACGATGGAACACAGAAAGTGGCTTTACCAATAGTCTATTAAACTCAGTATTATTGACCCTGACTATAGCAGCTGTCCTTGAGTTTTTCTCAGCCCTTCCTGAAGACCTGGGGGTGAAATCTGGGACCTTCTGCATGTAGATCATGTGATCTAAGCTATACCTCTGTGTTTGGAGGCCAGATACATCCAAATTAGCTGGAGATTGTCTTCTCCAATGTAACATTGAATTTCTTATCCAGGGGATAGGGACTATCTCAGGAACATCTTCAGAAAAAACATGAATTCTCATCTGTTTTAACTCAGTGCTACTTGGAACTTAGATAGGCCAGCAAATTGGGGTATTTGGACCTTACATTGGATGCAATTTGATGGAGCCTTGTGCCCAGAGAAAGGAAAGCAATTATTAGCAGCCAGGATGTCAAAACAGCCACACACAGCACTGTCCCAACTGCCCATCAATCAATGCTGAAGGAAGAGATTCATCCCATCCCAATATGTTAATTTATACCTTCAAAAGATGTCTTCTAACAATGCAGACAGCTAGCTTCCTGCTCAGGGATGTCTGAAAAGTACATTCCTTTTCACCAGCCCAGTCACAAACACTGAATTTGTATCTTTTCATCTTCCAAAGAGAAAAAGGTCCCGTTTGGTTCTGAAACTTCAGCATCCAAAATCCGGTTTGGTTCCACTACGCATCCAGAATGATGAAAGCACAGAGGCCATTTTAATATATTTTTACACTTTAAAGGTGCATTAATGAAATCCGGGTGAAGATTCAACTCAGTAGTTCGATCTCAAGCCGGTTTGCATTTCCAGATTGCCCTAACTTTCCAGTTTAGATTAGATTAAATTGGATGGGATGCAGCAGATCGATTCCAAACATGAAATGGATGTGATTTTCAGAATCAAAATACTGGTTCAAATCTAATACATTCGAAGATCCCAAGCACACCTATCCAGCTGCTTCTAGAAGCCAACAAGTCTTGTGAAGCCCTTTGAAGACTTTGCACAGATTCTGCTGTTAAGTCTGCCGAAATGGAAGTGTCTGTCCAGTGTTGTCTGAACTGAGAAGCTAAGCAGGGTCTGATGGATTAGCATTTGGAGGAGAAGCCACCAGAGAACCCCAGGGATGTAGCCTAGCCTGGGAGTTTGAAAAATCATCTCAGAACAAGGGAACCCACTTCTGCGTGTTCATTAAGAAGCAACATGAATGCTTTCATCAAGAGTTCAAGCATTGCTCAAAAGAGACTTTATCTTTTAATTGTTAGGTAGATGCATCGGAAGAATGCAAGAATTCCATCAAAGTGACGAAATGAATATCACAGCACCACAGTGCAAACTCCGCCCCTTTTGTAGGTACACACAGCATCACGATGGACATACAAGAGGGGCCGAGCTTGGGTTGGAGTGGCATGGTTGTTTTTTCATCATGTCAGTTCATAAGCTGAGTCCCTTGAGTGTGCCCAGTGTGGTCAAGTGACATATCATGACATCCTGAAGCATCTTCCTCCTCTTCCTCCTAACAGATTTCGTCTTAAGCTCAACATACTTCTCCACCAGGGCTGTCAAATAGCTACT